GAGACAAGTAGCCCAAGTTCTAATCGGACCTCAACTTCTCCATGAGCCATTGTATGAGGGTAAGTCAAACATGATTTCTTATTAAACAAACTATGAAAGTACGAAGCTACTATTTCTCAACTGCTTCTCCATCTAGGCCTGTACACTTCTGAAGGCAGTGTTTCCAGCTCGCCAGCCCTTCCCCCCAAGAATTCTGTGGTCTTCTATTTACATCAGAGCAAAATAGCTCTCAAAATAGGACTCAACTCATGATCCTTAATGTTCTTTGAGTTTGCAGAACAAGAGAGAAGTCTGAATGGGGAGAGGCCAGGGCAGTAGAGTAGATAGGGTAAGGTCTCCTGAGAAAATTCTCACCCTTGGCTGCCTCAAAGAATGCACAAGTGCATTGTCGTGATGGGAAGACAAGAGTCCTCAGCACAACTTTCCTGGGCTTTCCTTCACCAAGGCAGTTTTCCATTTTCTTAAAATTACTGCATAATATGGCCCCCTTGATCCTTCAAAAAAACTTATCAGGACAACCCTTAGGAATCCCCAAAACAGTTGCCACAACTTACTGAGCTGGCCTCTCGGCTTTCAATTTGACAGGCCCGGCAGCTCCCCACAGAGCCACTGTTTTGACTGGACCGTTCCCAAAAGGCACCCTAATGAGACTAAGCCTAGTGTATTGCTGAGATAACTTGTCAGCCACCCACTGTTCTCAGAGGCATGTTTAAATACATTTTGGTTGGGAATAAACGTGCATGAACTGGAACTCGGTGGCCATACTTTTGACTTTTCCCGTGCACATCACAAACCTCTCTGTTGCTGATGTACCCACACGAACATGGAAATGGGAGTCCGCATAACGGGAATGATGGCCACTGGTAAACCAATAGGCTAATATAGCACATATAAAAGATGGGTCTAACATGATCAGAAATGACCATCTTTAAGAAGAGAAGTCAAGGTGTGCCACAACAAACGAGTGCTAGAAAGAGGTTCACAGGGGATGGAGAAGCTGCCTTTGGTATAGGGAGCACCATCCTGCACTTGGAAATCTTGGTGCTTTCCCCCAGGAGCCTCCTCTTCCTCCTTGACCTCCTCTTCTCCGCTTCCTTCATTGGCTTCTTTCTAAAGACTTGACATTCTCCAGGGCTCCACCAGGGCGCTCTCCTAATTCTCACTCTTGCTTCTTTCTTGAGTTATCCAAATCCATAGCTAAAACAATTGCTACTGCTAAGGAAGTGTGTCTCTAGCCCAGACCCTTCTCTAGAGGTCTTGACCCAGGGGTAATGACACTCAACTGCTCTAAACTAGTCTACCATCTCTTTTCCCCTCTCCCAACCTGTTCCTTCCTCCCCTGTTGTCAATCTCACCAAATCCAAAATCGAGGAGTGACCCTTGGCTCCTTTCTTCACTCTCATCCCCTGTTCAGTCGTCATCAGGTTGTGTCAACATCCATCCTTTTCTTCTCGACTGCCACTGACCGTCCTAGCCAATGTCAACAGCAAAGTCTTCTGGCATTCACTTCCTGACTCCATTCTCACCATCCTCCAGTCCAACCTTGATAATGACAGGCATCATCTTTCTAACACATTAAAATGATTGCCTCTCTGCTTTTCAGAATTCAACAGTTTCTCATCATTCATAAGGTAACTCTAATCTCCTAAATCAGTAGGAAGTAGCTCAGTCATCTGATCCCTTGCCTACTTGCCCCATCTTGTCTCCAGCCATTCTCTACCATCCATCCAAGTGTGTGCGCAACCCGGAGCGCTGTCAACTCTGCGCTTTGTCTGTCTGCTGTTCCCAGATCCTGGGAGGCTGTCCTCAAGATGCTCTGCCCAGCAGACTCGTGGATTGCTCCTTTGATGCTATCCCTCAGTCCCCAAGGCACGCTCAAAAGTGTACAAGTGTAACACATACAGCTGTTCTCTCTGTATTAAACATTCTGTCATGGAGAGGATGTGGCTTTATAAAATCTGGCCCACACTTGGCAAGGAAGTTGGCCTTAGCACACAAAAAGCATCTTTATCATTCTTACACTGTGAAAGCCTTTTGAGTCTGGGTCTCCGTGGGCATGTTCACCGTGAGAAGCTCAGGTGGTGGTAAAGAGCTGTGCATTGGCCAGAGGTCAGAGCCCAGCAGACATATGTGCTTCCAATCATGGGCTAACTTTTCCAGGAAATATTCTTGCTTTTTCCATGTCTCTCAGTCATAGCTACAACTCTACAAAATGGGGCGGGGTGGTGGGGGAGGAAGATCTGAGATTTTACGTGATTGTTGGCATTGTGCCCAACAAGGTGGCAAGTGGACCATGGGAAAGACCCGAGGTTTTTCAGTTAGGATTACCCCTGGCCAAAATCTCCCAGAATCCAGCGTCCAAGTCATTGGAACTCCTCCTGGGTTAGGAGGAGTGAATCGGTCAATGCTCTCAGTTCTCTGGTTTGTTTTTCTTTTAATGGAGTTTTGTTTTAATTCCTGGCAAGGGAAGGTGCCTCACAGCCAACCAGGAGGTGAAAGGTTAGCAGGCTATGCTCTTTAGAACTGGGATTTCCTCCTCTTTGTTCATCCATTAACATTACAGGAAGGGAATGAGCTAGGTACCTAGATGCTTGCTCTAAAGGCAAAGTCAACCTCTGCCTCCCCAAGAAGCATCTGGCCACAAGGAACTTACATTCTCTGGGAACACATCCAGAAATAAATTCAGGAAGGCCAGAGCCATCATGTTCTCAGGTGTGTAGGATCTTTTCTTGGGAACAGCTGATCCCAGTGACCTGCATTTTTACTAAATGGATGAGACAGGCTCTTCCTTCCCTCTAGCCAGGGGAATTCTAGTTTCCAAAATAGTTACATAGAAAGGAACTAGCATTAATTGAATTGAGACTTGCTAAAGCTAAGATTTCTTCACCCTACTCTTTCTGACTCATAAAACACTACATTTCAAGGGATTTATAGAGCCCAGTTTAGTCACTGGGGATTCTAATGTTTTCATCATCAGTGGGCAGAGGGCACCTGGTGAAAATTTGAACCGTGAGGTTGTTGCAAATGCCCTTGTGATGAATCAAGCTCCATTCTGCCATCGGGCTATTGATTCATATGTGGCTTTTCAAAGAAGTAAATAACAGATAGGAACCTTGGTGGCGAAGAAGGAACATGTGGTTGGCCTGAAAGGCAAAGCTGTTGTGAAGTTCATTGCTGCTCACGTTGCTTTAACAGCAACAAAAACATGATCGAGGATAAAGTCTGGGACAATGGCTCCAGGACGGCACAGGAGGGAAGGCAGCAGATTCCGGAGCTGGTATAACCAGAGTTCGAGTGGAGGAGGATGTAAAGAATTGGTAGTGCGTGTCTTGTGGTTTACGATGGTCCCAAAGCGGCTCTTTGCTTGTCGAGTAGGATGACGGCTGACAAACACAGGACCAAGCGTCGTTTCTCCAAAAAGTTTCCTCCTTTGCCCTTCGTGTTACTTCAAACCAAGAAACAACTACACCACGTCCACCTCGCCTCTCCATTTGTGGATTTCAGGAAGCCATCCCATGCCCACATGCCCTGGGCTAGGGTTTCTCCAGGAGGCAAGGCATGATTTAAGAGCGGGCCATGCCTCTTTAATCAATTCAGTGTTCTCCTTGAAACATTGGGAACTTGGAAAGTTCCCAATATTTTAGAGTGTCTGTGGGCTTGTCAATACCTGATAATAAAGCACTCAGCAGTGGGCAGTATTCTGCAATCAGCATGGCTTATACTGGATAATATCTCGTGAATACCACTGAGCCAGTGCTTCAGCTCTTTGCAGGATTGTGCAGTCCCTGTTCATTCGGGCCCCGCCACTAATGGGGTGTCTGGCTTTCACTTCAGAAGCGGCTGAGAGCTACAGAAAAGTTGGGGATCAGGAGACCTGAGGTTTAGTCCCATGTCATCACACACTTGCGTGGTGACGCAGACTGACTTTGTTTTTCTGCATATAAAATGGGCCAAGGGTGAGAGATGATTCTAGAGACCTCACAAAGACCCTTTCAGCTGGAGATTTTTTGATGTAGAAGCATATGGCCTGTCCTTTGTTTTGGTTGTACTCAGTAAGGTTGTAATTCTCCCGGAAAGGGTTAATGAAGTTATTGCTTGATTGTTCCAACTCGAGAATCCCAAACTTGGTTTTTAGTGCGTGTGTGGTTTGAGATTCCCATTAGCCCATGGGCTAGCTGATCCTTGAATTTTGGGGCCTTAATAATCTTTGAATATTTGTGGTTGGCATGCAAGAAAAAGGTCAAAGACGGATTTTGTAGCTGGAGAGGTGGTTAGCTGACACACTCCATTCAATGGAGACTTTTGGTGCTGAAGATGCCCAGTGGGGTACAGGAAAGCGGAAGAAAGAGCGTGCCAGAAATCACTGACTCCCCGCATTGGGGCACTACTTTTTTGCCTGGTTTTCCTATTATTGTACAAATGGGAGAAACTGCATGCAGCGATCTATGTTGAATCTAGAAATAAGTTACTTTGAAGATATAAACTCACCGTGTGTAGTTTTACGATCCTAAGTGATCTAGCTGGAGAAGAGAGACATAATATGATTTTTCTTTGGTCAAGGATATCCCTTTGATAATTTTCTTTCCCAAACCATTTTAGTAGGGGCCAATCCATACCTCCTACCATTCCATAGTTCAGCCTCCTTTGATACTTTTACAGAAGCTATGAGCAGCCCTCTACCCAGAAAGGTGCCCATTCACAAACTGGAGTATCATTTTAGATGATTCCTATGTTCCCTGAAGCCCCTGGAGCCCAGGTTAGCAACCCCTAGTCTAAAGCAGCCCAAGTAAAGTAGACGAGAGGAGCCGCAGAGGGGAACTAGACGGTTAAATCCAGAGTTTGATGCCAACATTCAATCAGTAGTAACATAGAGTTGTTTTGTTTTCTCCCCCCCCCCCCATCATCGCCCTCTTTTCCCTTCTGTGTTTCCACATCTTTTGTCATCTCTTCTTGTTCCTTCTGAATTTCTCTCCCCATTTCTTGCGCATCTTGCACCATAGATGTTCCAGCCTGGTTGAAAAGCCTCCGCCTGCACAAGTACGCCGCGCTTTTCTCCCAGATGACCTACGAGGAGATGATGGCCCTCACTGAGTGCCAGCTGGAGGCCCAGGTATGTGCAGCAGGTACCCGCTCCCCGAGTGGGGGCCCCAGATACACAGGAAGGTAAAGTCCTGCCGGACCTTATTTGGGCCCTACCCTGTAGCTTGCCCTGTTCTAGGAACTGCCAAGTGCCAACCAGGTTTACATGGTGAGTACAGCTGGGTTCTAGCCATCAGGGTCCCGAAGGAAAGGCAAGGTAAATAGAAATGACAAAGTGCTGTAAAAAAGAACTATAAACAAGGCGCGCTGAGTAAGTTCAAGGGTACTAAGCAGGCACCACTGGCGTCTCGTAGAAGAAATAACATTGGACCCGGGCTCTAAAGCATCTGTAGCCCTGCTTTTGCTCACCTTGCTCCGTCCTTCCCTCTGCCCAACCAGAGGAAGGACAGATCGCCTGTTGTCCAGCCTGCTCACAAGTCGGCTAACTTTTAACCAGACTATTGAGTAGAAGAACCAGGCCAGCCTTCAGATCTGCCCCAACATCTTTTCAAAATTATATTCCAACTGGTATTAGCTGATGTTAAATTGCACAAAGGCTTCTCTTTCTTCTGACCACCAAACATAATATGGGACATTCATCGCGAATAGGGTTTCCCCAAGTCTCGGATTTGAGTTCCTCTTTCGTTCCAAGGCATCGCTCCCCCGAGTATGGATGCCAAAGGCCAGTCAACAGGACTCCTGAGACTTAGCATGTTTCTCACCGTGCTGTGCTCAAGAAAATAGAGCTAGCGGATGTCTTTGTTTCCCTTGCTTAAAATGCCATGTGCATGTTTCAAATTGACTTCAGTTTCCTTTGAGCAATGATTTAAAAGAATTAATGGTCTGAATGGGCTAATAATATTTCCCTTACAGGAAGAGGAGATTGTCCCATCTGGGGCATAGTTGGTCTGGAAACATACCTCCCAACAGACCACTGGTTTCCCGTCGCCTGCTCAGTACCCTCAGTTAACCTCTGCAGCCTGGCTGAAGACCAGGAGTGAGACGCGAGACAAAGCGCAAAGTCACTGCACATTCTCAGGGCATGAAAGGCACTACTTTCAACTTCCAAACACTTCTCCCACTGCTCTCTGGCTCCTGACTGCTCCTAGAGATCCCAGGGATTGATGAGAACTGTCTCTGAAAGCCTTTTCTGTGGTTAGGTCAAAGTTGAGGAACAAGCCTGAAGTCCTCAGCTGTTCAACTAGAGGGAAAAACAACAACAACAACAAATTGTCACAAAAGGCAAAGCCAGAGACTGGCACAAACATTTCAGAGCGCTTAAATTCACTGGAACCCAAAGGTCGAACTAAGCAGAAATCTGACCCCCAGGCCTTCATCTTAGAGACGTGGGTTCACTTGTCACTTGTCTTAATTTTTCTAAGTAACTGAGATGTCACTTGTGTGCCCATCCTTTCCTGTTTGGGGAGAACGTCTAAGGGATAGTTGCACAAAGTTGATATTAGAGACCTGATTTCAGGAAGGGCTTGCTATATGGAAATCAGTGGTGTCTTTAATAAAAGAAGGTCAAATTCTCAGGATCACTATACTCACACAGTTACGATAGAAAGCTACAGCCTTAACTATAGCTCCTAATAACTGATCTGAAGTAACGACTAGACCAGGGGCTTGTGTTATTTTCTGCTCTGGTTTGCCTTGTGGAGACCAAAGAGAGGCTGTGAGCTGATCCAAGTTGACCCTGTATTGTCTGACACTGAGTGAGGGCCTCCCTGGGCTTCACTGCTTCTCAAGGGGCGGTGGTATGTGGGAAAGATTGGAGAAAGCAGTGAATGTCTGCATGGGGTTGCAATTTTCAGGGAACTTAAGAAAGATAGAAGCAATACAACCTGAAGAAGACTATATATGCCTTCACATGTATCTTAAGGCTGTGAAGCAGTGTCATGGCCCGCAGGATAATTGACTTTTCGTTATCACTCTGTTTCTTCCTAAAGGTCACAGCCAAAGGAGGCAGGCAAATATTCTAAGCCAAAGGGGCTTAGACTAGTTCATTAGAAGAGGCTTGTAACAATGGGTCCAAAAGAGAGAGATGAAGGAATATTCACGATGTGAACATGTGGGACGAGGAAGACAGGGACGTATGAAATAACTTCCAAGAGCCTCTAAGTTGATTCTTTACAACATGAGTCCACTGCTTTTATTTATTGCAGAACGTTACCAAAGGTGCAAGACACAAAATTGTCATCAGTATTCAGAAGCTCAAAGAAAGACAGAGCCTCCTGAAGTCTCTGGAAAGGGTAAGCGGTCGCCCAGCCGGGGAACGTTTCCACTTCGTCGGGGGAAATGTTCCACAGGAAAGTCTCAGTTGACAGTGTCTCTGGAAGACTTAATCGAGGTCCATCATGCTATTTCCTCTCCAAGTCAGAAAAATGAAATGATTCTGAAGTGAGGCTTCCTGGGTATAAACGCTTCCCTAACCTGACAGTGGAAATGTACTTATTCCTCAGTGAAGGCTACCCGTGACTGACCGTGGAAGGACTCTGATGAAGTACGGTCAAGCACATGCTTTTTATATATATTTACTGATGCCTTTTACCCATGTGTCGGGAGAGGTTAGCAAAAGGAGCCCTGGTGGTGCTGTGGGTTAGGCACTGGATTACTAACTGCAAGGTTACCAGTTCAAATCCACTAGCTACTCCATGGGAGATAGCTGAGGCTGTCTCCTCTTGTAACAGTTTTCAGTCTCAGAAACCTTGAAGAAGGGTTGCTATAAGTCAGAATTGATTCAATGGCAGTGGGTTTGTGTTAGAAGTTAGCCAACTATTCAACCAAAGGCTGACATCTTAGTAAAGCCACGAGAGAATATGCGAACATGTATCATTTCTCCTATCCACACAGTAAAACCTCTGGCTTCTTAGAAAAGGTGACCCCACTGGGGGGCAAACTCCAACATGTATACTCCAGATTCCAGTAAAACCAAAAGCCAATCCCATTGCCTCTAGGAGACTCCAACTCAAAGCAGCCCTACGGATCAGAGTAGAACTGCCCCATGCAGTTTCTAAGACTGTCCCTCTTTACTGAAGCAGGTGGTTTCCACGCCCCAGTCCTGTGGCTAATTGCAAACACTTAGCCATTGCAACTGTGGTTCAGTACGAAGGATCAAGAATATTTTGATGAATGAGCCCAGCTGGTTCTCCCGAGGATAACTGCAGAGTCTCACTTAACAACAGAATGGGTCCCCTTGTCTCTGAGAAGAACCTTTCTCAGAGGTGCTCAACGCTGGAAAAGCATTTCTTCTGCTATAAGTCTCAGGAGCTTGACTGCAGTTTGAACAGTGATTTCAATGAATTAGTGGAGAGCCTACACGGGTTCCGGTCTTATCTTCGTATCTGGATGTCACCTGTTAACAACGGGTATACTTTAAGGCTGTATGATGTGTGACTATTCTTTGGCCTACACGATGCCATGTAACTAAGGTCCTAAGGAGAGCCTGCGCCTTGGTGCCTGTGCCCTGGAGTAGAGGCTCTTGTGGACTGGTATTGGGAGACAATTGGGAATAATGGGTGGGAAGTTTTATCTTTGCTGCCTGCAAGTCTTGAATAGTAGCCTTTTCTAGTAATCCCAGGGAACCTGCGGAAGGGGATGAAACAAGGTAGGATGAAAGCATGTCTGGTGAGCACATAGACATTTTAATGGAGGGTGGTGGTGGTTCAACTTAGTCACAAACATGGATGGGTGTGGGTGCATACCCAAACCAAAACCCATTGCCAACAATTTGATCCCACCCAAGTCATAAGGAACTCAGCCTCCCAGTGATGCCGTCAAGTCCACTCTGACTCAGTGGCACCATGTCATAGTGGCCCTGCACACCAGGGTCAAGTTTCCAAGACTGCTGTCTTCACGGAAGCAGACTCCCACAACTTTCTCCCATAACGCGGGTGGTGGATTCAAACCATCAACCTTTTGGTTATCAACTAGGTGCTTAAGTACAGCACTACCTGGGCTCTATTTATGTGTGTGTATACATCTATGTATACTGATAGATAGAATATGTGTTACATATCACTCTATATATTATATATACACAATTATATACATATGGGTACATAATTGAATATACAAAATTGTATACAATATATGAAGGATCCCAAGTGGTGTAGAGGGTTGCACACTGGGCTGTTACTGTCAAGGCCAGTAGTTCAAAATCACCAGCTACTGTGGGAGAAAGATGAGGCATTCTACTCCCGTAAAGAATTGGTCTCCTCTGACTGAACTAGTGAGTGGAGGAAAGGAAACATGTGGATGACATCTATGTTCAGACAGGTTCTCGCATGCTTGGGGCCTGTGATTGCACAATGTTCAGCCACTGTTTATGAATGGTGTGAATAGACTGTCGTATTCTGAAAGTGCTGTTCATTCTGATATTCTAATATGTGTTTGTATAAAATATATGGTTGAAGAACTAAAAAGTTAAACAAGTTAGTCTCAGAAAACCACAGGAGTGATTCTACTCTGTCCTGCAGGGCGACTGTGAGTGACCTTGATGGCAGCTTGATGGCATTGAGTTTGAGTTTTTGATGGTTATACATATAATAAAATGTTTGATAAATTTTTTATACTTATATAAAATATAATACAAATAAACCACACTACCATATCATATTAAAGATTTAATAATATTTCATGTAAATTATAGTGTTTATAATTATAAGTATTTTATACAATACATGTAGTTATATATATATATACACATACACACACACACATACATATAAACCCACTGCCATTGAGCGGGTTCTGACTCATAGTGACCCTGTAGGACAGAGTGAAGCTGCTCCTTTGAGTTTCTGAGACTAAATCTTTACAGAAGTACAGCCTCATCTTTATCCTGCAGAGTGAATGATAGGTTTGAACCAACAACCGTACTTCCCGATGCTTAACCCACTTCTCTACCAAGGTTCCTTAAAGTTGTCTAAAATATATATACACAACTTAAAAGGAAGATTTATTTTGGAGGAGGGGAATGCTCCATGATGACAAGAGTTGTCTTAATTAAAGTGAATTATAAATTGCAAGTGACCCATCCAATTCAACCTGAAGATTATGGTTGTTGTTAATTTAATGCTAATTCTTTTACCAAACAGCTTGTCTAACAGTGATTATTGCTGTTCTTAATATAAGAAACTGTTCTCTTTGGGGAGCATTCAAATGACCAATTTTCTCCTTAGCTGTTAGAAAGTACAGGAAATATTTTGCATGAGGATTAAATTGCTACGTGGTCTGGTGAGGGCGTCATTTCCCTGTTTCTGGAGTATCCATCCCCAATTCATTCAGATCCCTTGCCACCGAGAAAGCTCTTAACCTCAGAGACCAAAAAAGATTGAGCTGCTCGTAGAATTATTCCCTGGAGCTTGGATTGAAATCGGTGTGTGGAACCCCCGGGCAGTCAGGTAGCCTGGTGGCCCTGATATGTCATTGACTTTTGTCTGCCATCCTTTGATAAGTCGGTGACATTTTCTGTGTCCCAGATTTCACACCTAGAATAATCTTGACTCCACACAAAGACTTTCTCCCTGGTTGACTGGAATGGGAATGTTCGAAAATATGCTCCATATAACACAAAGCATGATGGCAGCGAGTGGCAGAGGCAGGCAAGAATGAGTTTATTCCATGGGGCTCTGCGCAGGGACTGCGTGGGGCCGTCAGATCGCCAGGTTGCGCTTGCTGCAGAGCACCCACTGGTCCCCGTCAGGAGCTGACGGCCTGGGGACGGGGGTGGATCTCTCCTCGGCATCCACTGAAGAGGATGCACCTCCCTGACGCTCTTCTCAGGGACACCCCCTTCTGATCGCCAAAGAAGGGGCTGTTCAGGGCCCTTCGCCACTGATAACGTCCTCCCCTTCCCCTTCCCTAGCGACAGACTCAAGCCAGTCATTATGCTTGCATTCCCAGACAGCCTCGGCTGCTTGTGCTGTAGGGAATGCCGCCATTATGCCCTCGCCTGCCTCCAGCACTCTTACCTCACATAGAAGCCACAGATTTCTAAGGAGATGGCTGTAACCCCGCCCAAAGTTAGTTCATAATCAGTAGCAGCTGCAGAGAAGCTCAAAGGCCAGCGTTCCTCCGGTCAGTCTGTTACTGGACACTTGTTGAGCAGCTGCATCAGACTAGACTTGTCTCATCCACCGAGGGCCAACCGTGAGTAAGATGTGGCTCCTGACCTGAGGGCCAACCGTGAGTAAGATGTGGCTCCTGACCTGGGGGCGCTTGTGACATACACTGTAACAGGATGGATAGATACATGCTCCTTACAATTCCATGTGATCTGTGTCCTGTCTGTTAAATGGGCAGGAGGAAATCTTCGTGGGATAAAATAAAGTCCTCTGGCTGGAGGGAAACCTTTAAGAAAGCTGATTGTCTGAGAGTCTCAGTAGGGCAGCAAGTCTTGATCAGACTTTGACTGAGGAGAAGCCGGGAGAATGGAGGACGAGAGAGCATGTGGGGGACTCAGTAGTCACTGGGTGCTTACCGCGTGGACCTGAAAAACACAGGAGTTCCCGGGGCAGGAGAGATGGAGTTCATTTGGAGGGTTGAATCTTGGGCTCCTGTGAGTCTGCCAAGTGGAAATGGCAAGTCAGTGGCCACAAGGACAGGTTTGGTGGTGGTTGTTAGGTGGATGTTAAGTTGTTCGTTGGCTCTGACCCATAGCAACCCTGTGCACAACAGAATGGAACACTGCCCAGGCCTCCTCACAGTGGTTCCTATGCCTGAACCCACTGATGTCACCACTGTGTCAATCCATCTCCCTGAGGGTCGTCCCCTCCTTCGTTACCAAGCATGATATCTTTTTCCAGGAACTAATCTCTCCTGACAGTGTATTCTAAGTATGGAAAACAAAGTCTTGCCATTCTTGCCGCTAAGGAGCATCCTGGCCTTACTCCTTCCAACACAGATCTGTCTGTCCGTTTAGCAGTCCGTGTGCTTGCAGTACTATGCTCAGCACCACAGTTAAAATGCATTGAGTCTTCTCTGGTCTCCATTGTTCATGTCCAACTTTCACCCGTCTGTGAGGCGATGGAGAGTACTATGGATTGAGACAGGTGCATCTTAGTCCTGAAAGGAACATCTATACCTTATGACTTCTCCTTAGCGCTTATCACCTGATACACGCAGTTCCATGGGATATCAACTCACAATTACCACTCACAACCAGATGACTCACAGCCAAGTCTTTCAAACCCTCCTGGCATTCCTGAATCCTAGACCTGTATGTTGACAGGGGACTACAGAAGTTCAG